TGATTCTTGGGTAGATGGGGTGTTATTGGAGTGCTTATCAATGAATGCAGGATCAGTAGAAACTTTGGACACACTAAAACTGTCTTCATATAGTGCACCCTGAGATTTTGAAACTTCAATTTCAAACATCATTTTCCTCTCCACAAGTTCTTCAATCTCATCTGGCAATTCCCCTTCATTTTCCTACATGAACAGAATGAATAGTTAACAACCCAATTAATATTTTTTTAACTCTATTTTATTTAAAAACTTACTACTTTTTTAAAAAGCTCCTCTGCTTTCTTTCCAAGGATCCTTATGCATTGCTTATCCCATAACACCAATGATAGATTCCTAGTGTCATCAATAAGATGGACTTTTAAACGGTACATGATAAAATATACAAAATACAACTAACAATTTAATTAAAAAAATGTACAAAGATTTGAAAAATTTATGAAATATTATTCATACCTCAAAACTACACCATGGCCTTTACAGAAAGTAAGGTTTTAGGCTAAGAAAGTAAGGTTTAGGGATGTGTAGTGTGTAAGAGTGGAAGGGTATATATAGCAGGAATCCAATGCTATACATGGGCAGTTTCCATGGAACAGACTGATTTGGTGTTTACCACTTGTAATGGGTAATTGACATGTGCTAATGGGACCAAGTTACATTTTTTGTCTTGTAATTAAGTGATTTTAATGTATTTTTGCAGCAATGGTATACTATGAGTATGAAGCTGGATTTAGTTGTAGACTTTTGAGGCTATGATGATACACTATATATTTACTCTTAATGAGCATACTGAAATTAAGGAAATTGATCCGTATCTTGACGTGGCTCCATGGATGGCAGGAGCAGCCATGGTGTTATCATAACCTTTTTCTTAAAATGATTATCTAAATAGTGAATATCTGAGCTTCTTTATATAAGCTTCAAATGGTAATCTTCCCGACAATACATTATCCTCTAATTCTGCCCTTATAAAGATAGTTATAGCTTTTCCACTTTATTGATTTCATCCTCTTTATAAGGCAATGGTATACTCTGTAAAATTCTGCCCCTAAAATGGTATACTTTGAAAAATTATGAGGTTGTGATGATTTATTTTATGTGTTTTACCATTTTTGGTTTTTTGAAATTAAGGAAATAAAACATATCTTGGCGTGGCTACGGCCTAGCCAGAAGCAGCCATGACGTTATATCAAACTTTTTCCTTGTAATGAGTATTTAAATAGTGAAAATCTGAGCCTCTTTATAATACCTCATCGAAATGGGCATTCGTGAACTACTCTGGCTTGGTTTTATATAGTGGATTAGATGCCATGTACTGAAAATGATACCTTGGTTTTGTCAAGGAGTGATTGTATATATTTCTGCACTTAAACATACTGCTACAATTCTGAAAAATATACCTGTGATTTGTTTTTTTCTGATTGTATATTTCTCTTAGGCAGACTGCTATAATTCTGAAAAAGATTGGTTTTTCTGTTTTTTTCTGATTGTACATTTCTCCAATGGAAACTGATTTCTCCATCAGCTTTTATGT